AACACAAGCGGCCTATGCCCTCCCTTTACAGACGCTCACACAGAGCAGGGAGGCGTCTATAAGGGACACCTACTAGGCCACGCCGCCTCCCCTTCACACCCCGCGGCCGGTAACTCACCCTCCAGCAGCCGCTGAATGATGGAGTCTATGTTGAGCTTCTCTCCGTCTCCCATGGTCGCTGCTGGCTCTGAGGGAGGTCACGTGCGCACCGGTCTCGGTCTCGGTCTCCGCCGGCTACTGACGTCAGCGCGCACACGAAGCCTCGCTACTTCCCCCTCCACGCTCCCAGGTGGCTGCGTATTTCTGTGAATGGAACCACCGCGGTGCGCATGCGCCACTCGGGCATGGTCGCCACCCATTGGCTGTTGATGACGGTGGAATTCGACTCCGGGCACGCCCATTTCCGGTGCGTTGGTTAGGGCCAAGGGCTCGGCCACGGTCGCAGCTGATTGGCTGAGAGCGGTAGGCGGGAAACAAGACGGAGAGAAAAACCTTTGCCGCAGAGGGTGAACTCGACACCCTATTGGCTGAGATCTCCAGTGTGGCTGTATGAGGCAGGGGCTGCCATGAGACGATTGCTTCGGGTCTATTTCATTTATTTGCTGGTTTATACGTTTTAAAAATGTTGTAAGTGTACACCCAGCCTGTGTGAGAAATACATATTTTATACAAAACAAAGAACTCCCAGAGCACTATGGGCTATCTTTAGGGCGGGATGTAGCTGTGGCTAAGTCGGTGTGGTTTAATGGGTGTAGCCAAGCAGAATAGGGTCATTGGTGAATCCATGTCCTCCCCCTTCCCTAAAAAATGGAAGCACAGCCTACAGGCCATGCTATCCATCACAGAAGTGAATAGTTGGCCATTAGGACAAGCTGTCAGCCTTAAGAGTAAATGGGCTGCCTCCAGGTCAAGTTGTCCATCATAGTAGTGAATAGAGAGCCACTGGTCCAGGCTATCTCCCATAGTAGTGAAAAGGGAGCCTCTGAGTCAAGCTGTCCCCCTAAGTAGTGAATGGGGAGCCTGGGAGACAAGCTGTCCCCCATAGTAGTGAATGGGGAGCCTCGGAGACAAGCTGTCCCCCATAGTAGTAAATGGGGAGCCTCGGAGACAAGCTGTCTCCCATAGTAGTGAATAGGAGCCTTGGAGTCAAGCTGTCCCTATAGTAGTGAATAGGGAGCCTTGGAGTCAAGCTGTCCCTATAGTAGTGAATGGGGAGCCTTGGAGTCAAGCTGTCCCTATAATAGTGAATAGGGAGCCTTGGAGTCAAGCTGTCCCCCATAGTAGTGAATAGAGAACCTCCTAGTCAAGCGGTCCCCCATAGTAGTAAATAGGCAGCCTTGGAGTCAGGCTGTCCCCCATAGTAGTGAATGGGCAGCCTTGGAGTCAAGCTGTCCCCCACAGTAGTGAATAGGGAGCATCAGGGTCAAGCTGCCCCCCCAGTAGAGAATTAGGAGCCTCGGAGTCAGGCTGTCCCCCATAGTAGTGAAGTGGGAGCCTCGCAGGCAAGAGGTACCCCATAGTAATGAATAGGCAACCTCAGAGTCAAGCTATTCCCCAGATTAGTAAATAGGAAGCCTCGGAGTCAAGCTGTCCCCCACAGTAGTAAACAGGCAGCTTCGGGGTCATCCTGTCCCCCATAGTAATAAACAGGCAGCCTCGGAGTCAAGCTGTCCCCCAGAGTAGTAAGTAGGAAGCTTCGGAGTCAAGCTGTCCCCCATAGTAGTAGCCAGGCAGCCTCTGGGTCATCCTGTCCCCCACAGTAATAAATAGGCAGTTGCCAAGCCAAGGTGTCCGCCATAGAACGAGCAGTTTCTAAGCCAAGCTGTCCGCCATAGACAGGGAATGGGCGGCCTCCGGTTCAAGTTGCCCGAGGGGTTCCTGCACTTGCCAGGCCCCCCACCTATCCTGGGACATTTTTCCTCCCACTGACCTACTACATGTCAAGGTGTCAGTCTTTATAAAGTTGTAAAAACTGGGAAATGTGTGGAATCCAAGTCAATAGGTTGGACTTGATCCAATAGGTTGAACTTGATGGATGTATGTCTTTATTCAACCTCAAATACTATGTAACTATGAACTTGACATGGGCTGCCCCAGAGCGAGGATTCCACACGGGGAGGCAACCCAGGAGTGTATGAACAACCTTCTTCTGTAGGGAAAAAATACATAGAAGAGCGCAACTACCTAAGAAATTGATTGGATGCTAAGCATCCTGCTGTGAGTGGCTAATTAGTAAAAATAAAAAATGGTTGGTGTATAACTCACGGTTATGATGTCACAGATGGGCACATGCACTCCCTGCAGTCCCGTGCGGTCAGCATTGTTAATCTGTGTGTTCCTGGGCAGGAAGATCTAGGCAATCCAGGAACTAAACAATCCAAGATCTACACAATCCCCGGGTATCTCCAGGCTGCGTGCTTGGCTGGCCGGGCCGAGCCGCGGCTACTGGAGCAGGAGAGAGAGAGCTGTCCGGCTGTTGTAAGCGGCACTGTGCAGTGTGTAGCCGTATGGTGTGCGGCGTGAACGCTGGAGCGTATCGGTCAGTGCTCGTGAGTCTGAGGGAGATGTGTTGGGGTTGTGAAGTACCCCTGTGAAATCAATTGGCGGCTACGCGTTTCGAGGGTAACCCTCTTTGTCAAGCCTTAGAGCGGGGACTCTGACTTCTGTAGGGAGGAATTTAAAAAAAAAACAAACACTTGAGTACCGGCCTGTGATACCCCCTTCATTACCTGGGCAGTGTTCATTTGGCAGTGCTGAGATGATTTGATTGGCAATTATTCGGTCATGCAACACTGCACCCAAATGATTGGTATCTTTTCTGAGACAGATAGATCTTTTGGGGGTATTTGTTTGGTTATAAAGGAAAAGTCTTACATTTTGAACAACAAAGCTTACCCTAAGGCCTCATTCACATGAGAATCGGCCGGCACGTATAGCTCCGTGCTCTGTACACGGCCATATTGGGCAGCTCCCGGGAAGGACAGGTGCTGCGTGTGATTAATACGCAGCCTCCGTCCTTTTCTATGGGACTACGTGGTCGTATGCCAACCTACGCTCACCCGCCCTGCACGTCCGTGCGTGTGAGCGTACTTGTACGCTGACAGGATGGATCCTGTCTGTGTCCGAGCCGGTACACCCGCACCGACCTGCACTTGGGGTGAGCGTAGGGCGGCATACTCCCATAGAGAAGGACAGGGGTTGCGTAATAATTACACGCAGCACCTGTCCTTCCCGGGAGCTGTCCAATATGGCCGTGCACGGAGCTGTATGTGCCGGCTTTTTCTCTTGTGAATGAGGCCTAAAGCGGACTGTACACCTATAGATTATCTGCAGGTTTTCTATGGTCAGATGGAAAAAGTGCAACAGATTCTCCCATCTGTGTAGATGGAGGAATCTCGCGCTGGGCCAAGCTTCAGGATCTTGCTAGTCGGCCCCACTGGCTCTCAAAATACCTGAACAAGCTGATTGGATGGCATTTTGAGAGCCGGAAGGGGATGACTAGCAAGATACTGAAGCTGGGCCCAGTGGGAGATTCCTCCATCCTCACAGATGGGGGAATCTGTTGCACTTTTTCCATCTGACCATAGAAAATCTGCAGGTAACCTATAGATGTTTGGCCAGCTTAGGTCACCACTGTAGCATACTGTAAATGCTAGTAGAACTGTTGGTTGTCAACTTCCTTAACCCCCTTTTGGATCCTGTCTGCATCCGAGCCGGGACACCCGTACGGACCTGCACTTGAGGTGAGCGTAGGGGGACGTACGCAGCACCTGTCCTTCCCGGGAGATGCCCGATACGGCCGTGCACGCAGCACGGAGCTGTACGTGTCGGCCGATTCTCGTGTAAATAAGGCCTTACTCTGTTATATAAAAACATATCAAATAACAATAGCAGGACAGAAAAAAGAGAACCCAAATTGCCCCTTTTTGGAAAGTGGACACCCGGGGCGATCTAACTTTTTGCCCCAATAATTTTGAAATAGTGAAACATGCCGGCAGTGAGGGGGGTTAAAACATGGAGCTTGGTAATGGTGCATCAAATACAGGTACTATACTGAGGGGGTGAAGGGGTAAAAGGTACAGTAGGAGGATGGAGATGAGGTGTTTACTGTGCAGAATAATGGAGGTGAAGGAGTTAATATACCAGTCATAGACAGGGTGGAGATGAGGAAGATAAGGAGGGGAGGGTGAGAGGGTTAAAAAAAAAAACAATCCTAGTCAAATTAATTAAGCCACCCCCTTGGCTGCTGCATACAATCCTTTCATTTCCTCATGGCCAATCACAGCCATCACAAATTGTAAACACTACTACTGTTTACATCCGAGAGCCCTCCCATTCCTCTCACAATGGAGGAAGGGGGCTCCCAAATGGAAACAGTAGTAGTGTTTACACTTGTGATCGCTGTGATTGGCCATCACAAGGCACAGAGCCACTTTGATTGGCTCTGTGCATTTTGCCTGGGATTGCTCGATCACAGGCATGATGAACGCACCTGCTTTCGCACACGCAGCACAGAGTGGTTAAAAAAAACGACAGAGGCCCTTTCATGGAATCACAACATAAAAGATACACACAATGAACAGAACTATTTTTTTTATTATCTGCAAATATAAAATGACAGCTGTAATTCTTTTTATACTTTATCCAACAGTACACCCTGTGCCTGCAAGGATAGACATTGTTCCTGGTGAAGCCGGAGTCTCCTCCCTCCACTTCTTCACAGCACACAAGGTTGGTGAAGCAGGATGCACTCTCGCTAGATGCTATTCATTTGATGTACATGGTTTGTTTATTGTTTAATATAGTTTTTATTATTTTTTATGTACATGGTTTGATACGTAAACAAAGCTTAAAGGCTCAGTCCACCTTCTGCAAAAAAAAAAAAAGAAGTAACTGCAGCAAAAGTGATCTCATGATCAATGTGCAATGAAGCCTTCAAAGCATTGCACCAGTGATCATCCTGGGAAGGTGACATCAGCAGAGCATTGCTGGGAAGTCTCATCTGTAATCTCACCAGATCTCAGGGAAAGGCATTTTCCTCCCCCGAGGTGATGTACATGGTCACATGTCCTAGTCACATGTGCCAGATTCCAGGAAGTAAAGGGAGAGTTAGTAAGTGCCCTTAGTAAAAATCGCCGCAGTGAGAAGGAAGGGTAAAACAACAGGTTCACTTTAATAAAGTTATCAATGGAAAAGAACAGTGCATTCAGAAGAGCACTCCCAGTAATTAGTGTAGCAATAACTTATATAAATGCCCCCCCCCCCTCCCCGAAGTTCATGTAACAGACTGATGATCAGTTCATTGGCGATGTGCTATACATGGTGTTCCTGAAGAGTGTTGGTTTCTACGACAGGTCCTCTTTCCACATAAGGCCTCTGTTTATTCACACGCCGGCTGCTGTTTTTGACATACCGAAGCAAATTCAATATGGCGGCCGGTGTCATTCCTTGAATGCGAGAAGCTGCTCCGATCTATAAAGAGGGTTTCATTTAACGTGTCAGCTCATTTCAAACAAACGTTTTGGACAAGATTATCGTCGATAGAAACACAAACTGGATGATATTAGGTTTGCTAAAGTACACCTTGCGACATAAACAATTGCCATGTTTTATTTTTTCATAAAATACTTTCATTTATGATCTTTTCTGGCTTCTTTTAGCCACTTCCTGTCTACATGCATGTGCTACAGTGTCAGCTGCACAACATCTCTCTTATGCAAGGTGTCGGCACAACACCCAACGCCATCACCTTCAATTGTAACCAACTAGCTTTACACTTCTCTATCTATTTGATTGTTCTATAGTAGCATACCAAAAGGTATTGAAGCTGCTGAAGGACAATCTCCTATTGGTTAATATTAGGGATGCACCGATACCGTTTTTTCAGTATCGAGTACGAGTCCCAATATTTTATTTCCGGTACCCGTCGATACAGAGTACCGATACCAATTCTTCTCTGGCATGGAGTAGGCTTCCTGGGCAATCAAGAAGCCAGGCGGCGGATAATGACATGCCGGCCAGCATCCTAATTGGCCGGCTCCATGCCAGCGGAAGCTGCTTGGCTAGAAAGCCAGCTCCATGTTGTTTGGCTGGCTTGATTGTAATTGGCCCGGAAACCAGCTTCCCAGTCAATCACCATCGAGCTGGCTTACTGGCCAATCAGGAAGCTGGGCAGGGAGCAATCAAAGCCTCCCGGCTTACTGATTGGTCGGGAAGCTGGCTCCATGCTGACCAGAAGTTCCAGTATCAGGGAAGGTACTTGTCCAAATACTAGGTATCCACACCGATACTGATACAAGTATCGGTGCATCCCTAGTTAATACTGCTAGTCTCTTCAGTAGAGGTCGCACAGACAAACCGGCAGGATGGTAAAGCATTCAGTAGGAGGATGATGACTGAAATTATTTTAAAGAAGTCCAACTCACCGTCTCAGGCCGACTCTGCGTCAGTTTCTCTCTGATTTCCTGAGACAGGACAGCGTCAAGGTCCATGTAATCCAAGTCTTCCGGCAACACCAAAGACTCATCTTTCTGAATCTCGGTGATATCCTTCTGCTGGAAAGCGATGTGCACTTCATACATAGCTACAAAGATAATGGGAAAAGGTTCACTTATCATATGAACAATCCTGCCAAACTCCACCCGAAATGCTTCTTTATGGATCGAGTTGGGAAAGGGTTAGAAAACCTCTATCAGGTATTCAATGCTCACGTGTAAAAAGTCTAATGAAAGCATAAAAACTTTTAACATTAAAAGAAGACACAGAGCGGCCAACGTGTGCTGTGACCGGAACCAATAGGGAGCTCTGGTATGCAACCTTCTAATACCGCTCTTTATTATATACATACTCGTACAGGTATAAAAGCACCTTACTGAGTCCACAACATTCATTCAAGCTCTGATGAAGCGAGAGTGTTGAACCCCTGAAAATGTTCTCTTGTTATGAGCAAGATTTTGCATATGAACCGGAGAAGCAGGGAGCCATCTCGGGTGAGTATCAGCGTAGGAGGAGACAGGCTTCAGAGACCGGAGAAGCAGGGAGCTCTCTTACTGAGTCCACAACATTCATTCAAGCTCTGATGAAGCGAGAGTGTTGAACCCCTGAAAATGTTCTCTTGTTATGAGCAAGATTTTGGACTCTTGGATCCTTGGTTTGTACTTTTTACATATGAACTGTAAACTTGGGGTCCCCTAGATAAGGGGCATCCTATTTTTTTGCTGAGAGCGGCCTCACAGGAAACACTGCGCTATACATGAACTCAACTGAATTTCTTCAGTCATGAGCTACCAAAAACAGCCACATCCAGCGCCTCCGATACACACGTTCCAGGTTTTTACTGCTGTCTGTGATTCCTATGCCAGCGACCATCACCATCATATATATGTATTTCTTGTCCTGGTCTCATAGGGATAAAAAGAAAGGGGGAAATATTTCCAATGGAGTAAAATATATCACCAACAAATCTTCAACAAGTGGTCATTTTATTGATGTAGACACATCTCGTCACAAAGCAACGTTTCGGGGCCACTCAGGGTCCCATCAACGTCATGCCTGGTGAACGGAGCTTGAGTGGCCTAAAAACGTTGCTTTGAGATGTGTGTACATCAAGATGTGGTAATATATTTTTCTACTTGGGTTTGAAGTGGCGCCATCCACTATCACTGCAGCACCCGCCTTAAAAGGGACATACCAGTAAGGGGTGCGGTGGGGACCTCTCTGGAACATATTTCCAATGGAACAATAAAGAAGATACTTGCTGTGATCCTTACCGGGATTCCCATATGGATATAAAATTCGGTGCTTGAAATGACTTTGGTTGGCACTGCCACACGTGGATATTTGAAGAATGTCACCAGCACACCAAATAAATGACTGCATCAGGTGTTCATTTATTGACGTATTCTGTCTCTCGTTTGCACGCACTTTCGGGGCCACTCAGGGTCCCCTTCATCAGGCTCAGAGATGACATTCTTCAAATATTTCCAATGGAGTCACAGACTTGGGATCTAACCAATCCCCAGTCTAAAACTAAAGACAGATTGTTGGCTGAGGTTTGGCTGTACCAGGGTAGATTATATATATATATATGTTTTTATCTATAATGTGTCAATATGAAGCAGTTTGTTCATGACCCGAGACACGGACTCATGTTATACTGGCTCTATAACTATATGAAGTTATATGAAATCTCAGCATTTTGACCCAATGAGGTCTCAGTAAACCAAAGCCCCAAAGATGAGTTGGGGTGTGCATGGTGCGGGTCAATGATGTAGGTAGTACAGGGAGTTAGAGTGGTTGGGTCCTGGTGATGGTTTTCACCGTGACAAAAACCCAAACTTTTACAGTTGCCACTGCAACAGGAGTGGAGAGAGATGGGTTTCAGGTACAACTGTCTGAGAGGGGATATCTGCTCGCTTCTTGTATCTCCAGGACAGGAACTGAAAGGAAATCTCACTTCCGTGTCCTTGTTACTTTTAATGGGATGCTGATGGACGGTGTGCTTGTAGTCAGTTTGTGATATCACAGGCTGACCCCCCACCCCCTCCCAACTCTGCCTGATGATGTCAATCATCCCTCTGTCTCAGCCTACAGCAGGTGCACACTAGGGACCTAAAGAGCTCCTGGGCTATATGACGTCAACAGAAACTGCCAATCGTCTTTGCCTCACCCTTCAGAGATAGGATGGAAAAGAGGGTATAGTGGTCACGTGACCAACGCTGAAAAAGGTTTTAAAAAAAGGGATTTACCATGCATGCTTTTTAAATTCATTCACAAGGTTTGTTTGCTAAGGCTACGTGGTTTGCTAAAGGAGAACTCCGGCCAAAACTTTTATCAAACCTTGCAGTGGGACTAACCCCGCACTGCAAGGGTTAACTGCTCATTTTATCTAGGGAGCATAAAAAGTAAGTTATACTCACCCGAACCGAGGGATAATTCTTGCTTTTAGACCGGTCCTTCGAGCCTCGCTCCCCCTCCGCTGCTACGGTCCAAGGTCCCATAAATCATCATGTTCTATACACAGTGTATAGACGTGAGGATGCTGAGGAAGATTCAGCGTAGGAAGAAACAGGCTTCAGAGACAGGAGAACTGGGAGTCGTCTAGGGTGAGTATCAGCGTAGGAGGAGACAGGCTTCAGAGACCGGAGAAGCAGGGAGCCGTCTCGGGTGAGTATCAGCGTAGGAGGGGACAGGCTTCAGAGACCGGAGAAGCAGGGAGCCCTCTCGGTGAGTATCAGCGTAGGAAGAGACAGGCTTCAGAGACCGGAGAAGCAGGGAGCCGTCTCGGGTGAGTATCAGCGTAGGAGGAGACAGGCTTCAGAGACATGAGAAGCAGGGAGCCGTCCAGGGTGAGTATCAGCATAGGAAGAGACAGGCTTCAGAGACCGGAGAAGCAGGGAGCTCTCTCGGGTGAGTATCAGCGTAGGAGGAGACAGGCTTCAGAGACCGGAGAAGCAGGGAGCCATCTCGGGTGAGTATCAGCGTAGGAGGAGACAGGCTTCAGAGACCGGAGAAGCAGGGAGCCATCTCGGGTGAGTATCAGCGTAGGAGGAGACAGGCTTCAGAGACCGGAGAAGCAGGGAGCCATCTCGGGTGAGTATAACTTTTTTTTAGTGCCTAGACAAAAACGAGCAGTTAACCCTTACATTGCGAGGGTAGCCCCACTGCAAGGGTTAATAAAAGTTTTGCCTAGAATTCTTCTTCTAAAGGGTTAACATACACTTTTGGCTCACCTTCTATCTTCAGCCGCTGAGCTATGTCTTGCCTTTCGATGAATTTCTGCAGACGTTCAGGGAACACTCTGTAGAGAGTCTTAGCTTCCACTCCATGGTACCTGAGCAATTCAAGGGCACTGGAGGAAGAAGAGATTTAACAGGGTTACAAATAATTTCTATAGACAGTATTACAACAATGAGTACACGGCTGATCATATCTTCAAACGTACTGAAGTCAGAATGTCCCCTCATTTTACTGAAGCTTAATCTTCCTATATTTTACCTTCCCTGGTTCCTCCCTCGCCGCTCATCAACATGTTCATGACATTTAAGAAAAACTTTTCATTGCATACCGGATTTCTTATCTCCGCCCACCTGCCACATTTACTACAAGGGGGTTCCCATTTTCACTGCAGGTGCTTTGACTTAGGTTGTATCTACAGAGAAGATCTGGCAGTGCACCTGGCTGTGAACTGAACCCCAAACATATCCCATCAGATCTGGGCATCTCCCTTCCCTGCCATTCACTATGAGAACACTGGGGTCTGGTTTACCTGAGCATGCCTACACGACAGACGCTTATTTGGGCTTCAGGGATGAGCTGCTGCCATTTCGGAGATGCTAGCTGTATAGAGCGCAGCGTAGCTAGGCCCTTCTCCAGTGTCTCTTTGGTCACTCGCGTCCGATCGTACCGCTCCTGAGACACGCAGCCTGCTTCTTCGTATCCTGAAAGGCATAGCAGAAAAATAACGCGCTGTGCTCTGCAAAGGAATAAAACTGATGGCACATGTGTAGAGGAGGCCCCCAAAAATGGAATGGAGATCATCAGAGGCGCCCGTAAGGGAAGGAGGGACTTGAGAGCCTATTTCTTCAAAGGCTGATCTTTATTTACGTCACAGGATATATGTTAGAACTGTCAGAGCAGGGCACAGACTTCCTACTCTTAAAGGGATGTCAACGCTTTCCGTGTCAATAAACTTGCCACTTCTTCAAGACGTGGCCAGTGTAGCTCTGAAACGCATTGAGGGTCCTTTATGTGTGGGAAGCATGTGCCCTGATCTGACAGTTATAAAACGTTGAGGAACAAAAGTGACCACACACAGAAAAGCACGGGGACACCGAACAGAATTTTTCTTCTGCGGGCTGGTTTTTGTTCTGAAGTTGCACGGGGATTATGCTTTGTGGTCGGTTTAGATACTTTGACAGAACTCAACCTAATTACAAAAAAAGACTCACCATCCAGAAAACATCTCCTCACCTCTAAGAGTAAGACGCATATCGGCGTTGTCCGGTCGAAGAGACATGCGGAACTCTGCCCTGCTGGTGAACATGCGGTACGGCTCCCGGGTCCCTTGTGTGGTCAGGTCATCGATAAGGACTCCAATGTAGCCTTCCGTACGGCTGACCGTGAATGCCGGCTGACCTTTCACCCTGAGGGCAGCATTAATCCCAGCAATGATCCCCTGGAATGGCAAACACAACATCCACTCTGAACAATGTAACATTATCATTGCTTGCTGGAAGCAATGCATGATGGGATATGTGGTCTTGAGAAATGGAGATTGCATCACATCAAGCAGCAGGGAAAGAGGCGCAAAGCACACTGGGGATCCAGGAAGTTGTTGGAAGTGATGAGCAGACGGAAGGCGGCGCTCACTACATGAAAGGGATTTTTTGAGTAAGCTTTGATTGTATTATCAGAATCAACTCTACTATGTACAGTGGTTTCAGCTGCAAGTATGGAATCATTCAAGACCTGCCTAGATAGTTTTCTCAGAGAAGAAGATATACAGGGGGACAAGTAATCCTAGTAACTCAAACACACACAACCACATAGGTTCAACTCGATGGAACTGTGTCTTTCTTCAACCTTAACAACTATGTATTCCTATTACAGTGCTGATGTCATAACAGGATAGGATATGCCGTGACTTTACAACTTCTTTAATGGAAATATAGGAAATTTGGTCTGGAGGGGTACTAATTAGGGATTCACCGATACCGATACTAGTATTGGTGCCGATTATTTGGGCGACTACTTGTACTCGCCCAAATGGTCCGATGCCTAGCCCGATACCCGAGCTTCCGCTATTAGGAAGCCGGGCAGCGAGTCATTATACGCTGCCCGGATTCCTGATTGGCCGGAAAGCCGGCTCCATACTTCCTTGTCACTCGTAACGAGGAAGCATGGAGCCTGCTTCCCGGCCAATCAGGGACCCGGGCAGCGTGTAATGACTCGCTGTCCGGTTTCCTGATTGGTCGGGAAGCTGGCCAACCAGGAACCGGGTGCCGCGTAATGACGCGGCGCCCGGTTCTCTGATTGGCCGGGAAGCCGGCTCCATGCTACCTCATCACCTCCTGATTGGCCGGAAAGTGGACTCCATGCTTTCTCGTCATCTAGTTGGGTACCTGAGCTGCAGCCTCTTCATATCCCGTGGTGCCGTTGATCTGTCCAGCCAGGAAAAGTCTCTGTACTAGGAATGTCTCCAGGGAGGATCGGAGCTGTCTAGGGTCCATGAAGTCATACTGCACGCCGTAACCTGCAAATGCAATACAGTCCTAACAGAAGTCAGCAGAAAGACCTTGCATATAGTATAAAGGGTCAGATACCCTGATGGTTGCTGAATATTACACACGTGCCAATTTGCTGCATGTTAAGCAACCTATTACACGACATATTAGTATTTTACAGAAGACTCTGACCACATCCACTGACCTGGGCGAAGCATATGAGCTTTCTCCAGCCCGGGAATCTCCCTCAGAAGCCGTTCCTGGGCCTCGGCCGGCATAGTCACAGACAGCCCCTGGGGGTAGATCACATCTGAATCCATCCCCTCCGGCTCCAGCCACACTTGATGTCTTCTACCAGGAAACCGCAATATCTTTGATTCAATGGAAGGGCAGTACCTAAAGGAGGGAAGGGTCTCAAATCAGCCAACCGTCACAAAGATTAACACAATAAGTTCATGTGATCAGTATAGGCCAGGCTCATACCTGGGGCCTACACTTGTCTCCTTGACGTGACTATTCAGATGCAAGTTCTCTTGAATGATTTGCTCCACCTTGGGGGTTGTGTAGGTCAGGGAACATGGAATTTGATCTTCAGGCTATAGAGAAGAAGTTACATTAATGAAACTCATCCAGTGGGCTCGGCAAGTCATGGTACTATGGAGAGAAGATCTGAAGTCCCCAAGATAAATACAAATCAATTACTGCATCAAATTCCACCTATAACAAAAATAACTACTGGGTGGACTGACCCTTTAAGCCTTATTAAGTGTCTTACCTTGATCCAGACATTGTCATTCATGAAGCTGAATGGTACAGGTGGGTTATCGGCATCGTGCCTTGGCAGGACACTAAAGTCTACTGAGTCCTTCAAGATGCGAGGTGGGGTTCCAGTCTTCAGCCTCCCAACGGTGAAGCCCAGTCGTTCCAGAGTCTGTGCAAGCCCCACTGCAGGCTCCTCTCCCCAGCGGCCAGCAGAAATGAGTTCCATGCCAATTCGTACCGTTCCTCTAAGGAAGGTGCCGTTTGTCAGCACCACGCTGCTCGCCAATATCTTACTGCCATCAGCTAGAGGGATAAAACATGGTCAGAAGATCATCAACACTTTTTAAAGGATGTGTGCACCCTTGTAAGAAATCCTGTTTTCTACATCTATTTCACTAAGTGACAATGCTGCATTCTGCCCTCCTCCTCCAGTGCTCTGTGTTCATGATTGGCCGGGAAGCCGGCATCCCAACCAATCATGATTTAGGCGGCTTCTCGGACAATCAAGAAGTCAGGAGGTGGCTCATCACCTGCTGCCTGGCTTCCTGACTGACCAGGAAGCCGGCTCCATGCTGTTTAGCTTCCCTGGCTTCCCAGCCAATCAGGAAGCCAGGAGATGGGTCATTACCTGCTGCCCAGCTCCCTGATTGGCCGGCAAGGCGGCTCCATGCTGTTTGGCTGGCTTCCTGATTGCAGGTTGTTTGCTGATTGCCCGGGAAGCTGGCATCCCAGCCAATCAGCATATAGGCGGCTTCTTGGACAATCAAGAAGCCGGAAGGTGGGTCATCACCTGCTGCCCAGCTTCCTGATTGACCTGGAAGCCGGCTCCATGCTGTTTGGCTTCCCAACCAATCGGCATGGAGCCAGCTTCCCAGCCAATCAGTAAGCCAGGTGGCGGGTCATTACCTGCTGCCCAGCTTCCTGATTGGCCGGGAAGCCAGCACCATGCTGTTTGGCTGGCTTCCTGATTGGCCAGGAAGCCGGCTCCATGTTCCCTTATGGCACTGTCAGTCAGTGGAAGTCTCCCTCTGACCAGAAGTTCCGGCATCAGGATAACTATCAGGGCATTTAGGTTAGTCCGAGTCCTCCCCCAATACTAGTATCAGCGCATCCCTAGTCTCTATGGAGAGACCTAACATACCTCCTGCTGCGTCAGAGTCCTTAAATCAGCAGGGAGCACGAGTTTTGCTGATTGGAGAGCACTAGCTCAGATTCAGCAGGAGCTTGTCAGACCTCTGCGGACAGGCTACAGCTTCCACACAGAGTTCTTCTCTGCGGCTTGCTGGCAGGGGACAGGCTTTACCGCTCAGGCTGTGGCTGCTTTCTAAAGGAAACTAACTATAAGACCTTGCCCTTGGAATGTGTTTAGCTGATTCAAGCTGAAATTTCAGCTGCATTTAAAACAGTATGTGACTGATTGGCCTATAAATGTGCTAAAAATGGCAACACTATGAACTGCCTACCATGTAAATGCATATTAATAATATACAGGCCACCCACAGGCTGAATCATTCTGAAGAACAGAGACAGTTTCTTACCTAGAATGACCCCATTGACTTGACACTTTCCAGGATGAGAAGGATCTGGCGGTTCCAAAATTAAATCTTCCACGGATCCTTCTCTCACTGTCAGACCGGGCATGCTCAGAATCTCTTTCTGGACAAAGAACCAAAAGAGGGGAAAGTTTTAAGAGGGCAGCTGGACAAATCTTCACACAAACCAGAGCACCCCCTTTAAAAAGCATTGTCTAGTAATTACATTTTTTAAAGCTGAAGCTTAAAGTGACATTAAACCCTCAGATTTTTTAACATAAACCAATACTGTAATGTGCGACTTACTGTAATCCATGGTTGTTTCCCTTCTCTTTGCTGCTCTTCCTTTTAAATACTCATCTCTTCTCATGCTGGGGGAGAACTTTCCTTTGCAGCTGAGTGCCTCTTCCTGTAGTGCTGGCTCAGGTTGTGAACCTTCACACAGACACCATGTATCCATTTCAGAGACAAGACAGTCTGCTGCAAAACCAAAGGCTGGGGAGCAAAGGACTAGATCAGTGGTGGTCACGCCCTTGAAAAAGGGGGCCCCAAGTGCGGCCCCTGACATCACCAAGGGGCCACACGTAATATATTCAGTGAATGTAAGTCAAGAGACTGCAGACATGTGCTAGGAGTTAATGGAGACTGGGGACATTAATCAGGAAACAGTCATTGACTGGAGACACCTTACATGAGGCTGCTGGAGACCACGTTCTCTTAGCAAGATGAGAGGGGGGGGGCATAAAAAGAGAAAAGGGAATGGTCAGCACAGAAAAAGTAAGATGGTGTGAGAGAAATAAAACCATTTAACTACTAGAAACCAGTCTGATGAATACTTTTTTTTCTTTTTCGGTGGCCTAAGTAAGCACCTAGATATGAAAAACACGGACTACTGTCTGCAGGGGGCCCCGAGGGCCACACAAAGCGCCAAAGGACACCAACAGGTCCGCTCTTCCCAGCACAATTGCTCCTTCATGACTTGTGGAATAGGTAAGTGAAGGTAGACCTGCATGTTCTGTCTGTACAGCTTCCTGTCGATCTGTGCTCGCAGTCCCCACACGGCTGGACCTTTGGCGCGGTTTAAGACCTTGTAGTGGATTCCAGATACATCACAGATCCTCCCGCAGACTCCATCCAATGCGTCCACTTCCCGCATCAGGTGACCTTTGCCGATGCCACCAAACGACGGATTACAGGACATCTGACCTAGACGGGTAGAAATAAATCATTGTTAGAGACAGATCATTTCATGTGATGATGTCCGCTCGGGGGTTCCGTCTGAGAAATGGCCACTTAAAGGAAACCTCACCTGAGAGAAATACAGAGGCTACCATTGGCGGTCTCCTTCCAAAGGTGTTAGTTTCCTGGTTTATATGCGGGCCCTTTGATTTAAAGGCCATCTCCCTCCCACATTACAGTATTGGTTTATGTTAAAAAATCTGAGGGTTTAATGTCACTTTAAAGCCTTCAAGATCCTGTGATGACCCCTCTGATCAACTCCTCCTACAGTCATGAAAAGCATTCACATCACCAGGCAGTGACGCAAGCATTGAAAGAAGTGCCCCATTCACCCTGCAGTCCACAAGGGAGAAGACTCAGGATCCGGCCCGTCATGTGACCACAATTTCAGATTAGAAATCGGTCTTTCAGGTTAGTTTTTTCAAACATCTAACTGGTCGATTAGCTAAAGAAGGGTAGATCAGGTAAAGAGTAGTGGGGGGTGGGGGGGCCCTGAGATGAGCTTTAAATGACCTCTAAGTCACAGACTCAGGACAAGCATGTAAATCAGGGAAGTCAAAACTCCTTATCTGTATACTTGTTCTTCTGCATCTGGCAGAAGCCATGTGGGGTGTTTGAGATTGTGCCCCTGTGCCTGGCCAGTCTTGCTGCTCAGCAAAACATAGCTGGGCACGTCTAGAACAGGAGAAAAGCTCCCACAGCATAACAAGAGCTTCCAATACTTCTGTGCTATATATCAGCACGGAGCCTGGGTCATACATGTCCTTTGTGAGGGATCATATCAGGAAGTGCACTCCATCATTACCTATGGTTTCCACCTTGTGAGTGATGAGCAGTGTTTTGGCTCCGGTCCGTGCCGCCGCTGCAGCAGCCTCCGTGCCCGCGTGTCCTCCACCAACCACCACCACATTGTAACTTTGAGGGCTCTCCTCATTCCCAGCAGAGGATACTGTGCGTCTCAGAAGCCGGGGGAATGAATATCGAACTCTACGAGAGAGGATCCACTGCAAAAAGAAAAGTCACCGTTATGACTGACCAGTGCACACAATTATTACAAACCTACAACCAAATGACCACCCCAACCCACCCTGACCATGGTAGTCCGCCATATGGTACAGGTCCTTGACCTACATATCTGTCCTGCAGAACAGGCTGGCTGTGATCTCAGACGGAGAGGCTTTGGGGGATTGATGTCCAACGTCAAGTCCTCGTTGAAATCACATGACCAGTTGGTTGTCAGCACAGGGCAAAACACATAGGTGTGGCATTTTTTCTGTACCACCTTCTGTGTTCCCTGGGTCAAGCTGGACACAAGGGCTTGACTCCCGTCCAAACCAACAATAAACCCAATTTCCTATGCCCCACCATTCCACAGGCCAGGGGTAGGACCTAAATAGGGAGTAGAGGCTCTGGCCTGATGAATGCCATGGGCACTGCAGATTGAAGCCTTTCATACATCTGAGGTTCATGAGCCTCCAGGACCATATAGTCTCAGCTAACACAAGGTTCCCGGGAGGTTATTTTTAGCTGAGACACTTTTTAGGGCTTGACAGGTACACCGTAAGCCAACTGCATCAGGAGGCATGAGACAAGTATGGGGGCTACCACTGCGGCATGTATTCTGAAAATGATAGTTACTCGCCTGCATCTATCTTCAACACCTTTTCAGTCATACACTAGGAACATGCATGCTGTGAATCAGGGTCAGGGTTTTGTTATCCAGCCCCCACACTCACCTAGGAAGGAATGGCGTACCCCTGGCCTCCTGGGATAATCACATCATGCATCCGAGGAGGCTTCAGAGCAACCAACATCATCAGGGGACCATCTGTCTCTTGCTTCTTACAGCTGGCCCCCTGATATGCCGCGTCATATGCGTATCATTGGGGGGCAAGCTGCAAGAACAACAAGACGGCCAGCTCCTAATGATGCGCTATGGCACATGTGTATCATGGGGGGGGGGTCAGGCTGCAAGAACTACGAGGAGACAGCCAGCCCCCTGATGATGTGCTGCCGTGGCTCATGGGTATCATTGGGGGGCAGGCGGCAAGAACTACGAGGAGACAGCCAGCCCCCTGATGATGTGCTGCCGTGGCTCATGGGTATCATTGGGGGGCAGGCGGCAAGAACTACGAGGAGACAGCCAGCCCCCTGATGATGTGCTGCCGTGGCTCATGGGTATCATTGGGGGGCAGGCGGCAAGAACTACGAGGAGACAGCCAGCCCCCTGATGATGTGCTGCCGTGGCTCATGGGTATCATTGGGGGGCAGGCGGCAAGAACTACGAGGAGACAGCCAGCCCCCTGATGATGTGCTGCCGTGGCTCATGGGTATCATTGGGGGGCAGGCGGCAAGAACTACGAGGAGACAGCCAGCCCCCTGATGATGTGCTGCCGTGGCTCATGGGTATCATTGGGGGGCAGGCGGCAAGAACTACGAGGAGACAGCCAGCCCCCTGATGATGTGCTGCCGTGGCTCATGGGTATCATTGGGGGGCAGGCGGCAAGAACTACGAGGAGACAGCCAGCCCCCTGATGATGTGCTGCCGTGGCTCATGGGTATCATTGGGGGGCAGGCGGCAAGAACTACGAGGAGACAGCCAGCCCCCTGATGATGTGCTGCCGTGGCTCATGGGTATCATTGGGGGGCAGGCGGCAAGAACTACGAGGAGACAGCCAGCCCCCTGATGATGTGCTGCCGTGGCTCATGGGTATCATTGGGGGGCAGGCGGCAAGAACTACGAGGAGACAGCCAGCCCCCTGATGATGTGCTGCCGTGGCTCATGGGTATCATTGGGGGGCAGGCGGCAAGAACTACGAGGAGACAGCCAGCCCCCTGATGATGTGCTGCCGTGGCTCATGGGTATCATTGGTTGGTATTGGTTGGCGGGCTGCAAGAACCAAGAAGAGACAGCCAGCCCCCTGATGATGTGCTGCCGTGGCTCATGGGTATCATTGGTTGGTATTGGTTGGTGGGCTGCAAGAACCAAGAAGAGACAGCCAGCCCCCTGATGATGTGCCGCGGCTCATGGGTATCATTGGGGGGCAGGCGGCAAGAACTACGAGGAGACAGCCAGCTCCTAATGTGCTCCTAATGATGTGCCGTGGCACATGCGTATCATTGGAGGGGGCGAGCTGCAAGACCCAAGAAGAGACAGTTGGCTCCTGATGATGATGTAATAGGGGAAGATGGCTGCGCGGGGCTGGGTGTGGGGGGATGTTTATTAGGATAACTCCATGATGAAGATATCTTAGGAATTAGAAAAAAAGAAAGGGAGTAAAGTTCCTATGCTGTCAATAATTTTTTTTTAAAACGTCTTTTTTGGTAACAATCTGTCCATGGTCAGTCTGATTGCAGTGTATCTTGGCCTACATATATTTACAGTACAGGTGTCCCCATGTCAGGCAAGTTATTGTTGTCACTAGGACAAGACAAACTCACACAGGTCAGGGCTGACTTTATATTTCAGTTCCAGCCCTGACACCTCTCTGGTGTTACATACAATTATTTCCCCACCTGTCACCTTCCCAGACACCTATGTCACCCTGAAACTCCATCCTTACCTTCCCCCCATGCTCAGCTATGGACGTAGCCATCTTCCTGACCTCATGACGTACCATAGAGAGCACTGGGGTAGAAGGGGAAGGGCGCTCCCTGTGGCCCTCTGCTGGTCTGGAGGACTGCAGCTTTTCGTGATCTGTAGCAGAGCCCACAGTGACTAATAATGCCGCATTCATGTGCTACTGAGTCATAGAGCTCCTTCACACTGTGTACATTGATCTGCAGAGACCACGAATAGGCAAGCTCAGCTCCATCTGTTGTGGAACGACAAGTCCCATGAGGCATTGCAAGACTGACAGCCACAGACATGACTCCTAGAGGCAGAGGCATCATGGGATTTGTAGTTTCATCACAGCTGGAGGGCCGAGGTTGGCTACACCTAGGTATAGAGGAGCCCTAAATCAGACTTATTACCTGGAGGATTTTCTGGTCTCGGGGTAACCCCTAATAAGGACTATACCTACAGATTGTGGTTGTAAAAGTGACAGTTTACATTTGTGGTCGTTGTAGAGGTGACCCCTTACATTGGTGGCCGGTGTAGAGGTGACCCCCTTACATTGGTGGTTGGTGTAGAGGTGACCCCTTACATGGGTGGTCGGTGTAGAAGTGACCCCTTAGGCTGGGTTCACACCTAGGCGTATCAAATATGCGTGTTTGTCACGCATCTCGTGCCGCACGCTTTTACCGCAATTCGCGGTTAGAAAAACGTGCAACAAGCGCGCGTTTCCGGGGGCTACCTAGCTGTCTACCATGGTGTTCGGTGTAGAGGTGACCCCTTACATGGGTGGTCGGTGTAGAGGTGACCCCTTACATGGGTGGTTGGTGTAGAGGTGACCCCTTACATGGGTGGTCGGTGTAGAAGTGACCCCTTACATTGGTGGCCGGTGTAGAGGTCACCCCTTACATTTGTGGTCGTTGTAGAGGTCACCCCTTACATGGGTGGTTGGTGTAGAGGTGACCCCTTACATCGGTGGCCGGTGTAGAGGTGACCCCTTACATTTGTGGTCTTTGTAGAGGTGACCCCTTACATTGGTGGTCGTTGTAGAGGTGACCCCTTACATGGGTGGTCGGTGTAGAGGTGACCCCCTTACATGGGTGGTCGGTGTAGAGGTGATCCCTTACATGGGTGGTCGGTGTAGAGGTGACCCCTTACATTGGTGGTCGGTGTAGAGGTGACCCCTTACATGGGTGGTCGGTGTAGAGGTGACCCC